TATCTGTCACTATCTATCTGTCACTATCTATCTGTCACTATCTATCTATGTTAGTCAATCAATCAATCAATCAATCTACTTTTCTAGCTATCAATCAATCTATCTGTCTATCTATGAATCAATCTATCTATCTATTTATTTGTATTAGCCAGTCAACCAATCAACCTATCAACCTATCTATCTATCTATCTATCTATCGACCCATTGACGCGGTTCGCAGCATTTGCGGGGACTTTGTCGGGTCAATAAGCACATGAAAATATAGCACATGAAAATATATAGGTCATTAGCAATCTTGAAAAGTACAAATCTGAAAGACTTCCAATCTGTACGTATATGCATATAATGTCCCTGCACAAGAACCAATAAATGAGCCAATTTCAGGCCAAGCATCAAACCGTCAACGAGAAGCAAGCTCAGCTGCAGACACAGGTGCACATGGGGTCCTGATGGGGATGTGACACAAGAGCCAGACAGAGAGCTTGGTTTGAAGGTAGCAGCTGCAGAAGAGGCGGGCCAAGTTTGTGAGAATGTGACTCTCCAGCAAGTTGCGTGTGAGCGACCGCGAGGCCTTGAGGCGGGAAAAGGAAGCAGCACTTGAATTGCAAACTGAGGCGTGTTCGAGCAGATTTGTCATTGTGAAGATACCGTCACAATCCCTCACACACAACTTAAGCTCAATGCATGTCAGGTCAATCTCCACTATTTATCCCAACTGCAGAAGACCACCATTATGAATTGTGATGAATCATTCCTATAGGAAGTCTTGAGCCCAATCGCATGAACCCTTTCTCTGCAGAAATCGGCCCTATGTCGTGTCGTGATGGTGGGAAATCTACTACATAAGTTACACAAACACATGGTGCTATACATGGCGCAACCTTTAACTGAGCTACAAAAGAGTTCCCATGCCTACATTTGAGACAGCATCAGCTAGAGGTGTCTCTGGAGCGATGGGAGCTGCAGCAAAATGTCGGGTGGCTTAGAGAAATGCATGACTTTGTGGCTGAGGAAATCGAAACAGACACGCAAAAATTGAGGGTAAGGACACCTTACCTTCCTTGTTTTTTTCCCTAATTTTATCTTTTGCTTAGCTTCACTCTTCGATCCGAGGCCAAGAACCTTTCGGCCCTTTGGCCAGAGGTGGAGGAAATCAGTGCAGCAGTTCGCTCGACACATGCAAAGGTTCTGCAGCAGAGGCCACCCAACCGCAGCTGTGTTTGTCTTCGAAGCCTACCGGCGAAAATGTTTCAGCTTACTGCTGCAGGGAAGAGGCAGAAGAGCACTCACGAGACGAGAAGCAACGCTTGGAGATTGCCAGCAGACTCTATGAGGTCGCCTGTGTTGCAAGCTGACAATCAAAGTCAATTAAGGCAATCGACTTATATATCTTTTTGTTTTTGGCGCTTCCTATTTGCTTCTGCGCGTTTCTGTTTCCTTGTGCTTCCCAACTTACTTCGTCAGACCAGAACACATAACATCGCAAACCGGCTGACCTCAGTTCTATGCAGTGGTCTCTGGCATCCGCTGGGACATGGAGACTGAAAAGATGGAGGGGTGAGACTGACTAGATCAAGTGTAGCAAGTTCACAAGAGGATTTTTTCAATAATTGTCAACTTGCTTTTGTGTTTCTTTGCAATTTGCAGTTTCTTGCAGGTACATTGCAATCGGGGAGAAAGCGCGTGCGTTCAAGGTGCCAGATTGTTCCAAGTGTCATTTCATTCAGTGCAATACATGTGCAGGTAGAGACACCTCGGAGCGCCCAATCAGCGGATGCACTTTGGGCTTTGATTGAGGCCAGTTACCACAACAGTTTGCATCAACCAAATCTGTGAGCATGCAACGCAGCTTCCCCTTGCTCTGCCATAGGGCCTGAGGTTCATGGCAGAGGCATCCAATGAAGTTTTTCCGAACCAACTCTCCTTCTTATCGCCTGGGGAGATGTAGGACCTAGGAGGAACCCGAGACAAAAGATAATCACTTCCAATGACGGTTGAAACGCAGAGCTGTTGCTCATACTAAACTGCTTTTGGAGGCTTGCAGCGACTATTGAGCCCAACTGAGACCAGATGCAAAGTCAACACAGTGACCGTCAACATGCCCTCAAGCCAAAGTACAACGTACGAACAACTAGCATGCAAAGTATTTGAAGAGACTAGCGGTTGAGATTCGTTGATTTTCGCAGGCTTTCTAAGTCTCTCTAATTGGCATTCGTTGCCCCTGTGCAGATCTCTGACTTTTTATGCTGTAATTGCTAAATTTGCATGATGAAGGATAATGACTATGCAAATCCGTCCGTGCGCTCCGTGAAAAGCCCAGCCTTGTATGTCCCGAGTGTTTGATTGGAAAAGTCTTGAATGCAAATCTCATTTGCAATTGCCTGGCAACCGTTGCAGCATCGGCATCGCAATGGCAATTCTTTTTGCTTTAGCTGATAGCAGCTGTAGTATGCTGTTGTGCACTCCAACTCAGCAGACGACTCTGCGACGACTCGATGCCTCTGGTGCCTGCATCCAAATCTGGGCCTACGGAAGGTGTGGACTTATTTCTTCAGTATTCTTCTCATATGAGCCACTCATGTAAGCCGCAATCTTCAAAGCACACAATAAAAGCTGCTTGCCTTGTTCCAGGTGGTGCACAGACTCGTTTGTGCTACCCTGAGGTCTGTGTCCACGCGAGACAAACATGGCCCATTTAAAGAGGGCTTGAGCACAAACAGGCCCTAGCCTGACCTTCCTCTTTTCATCAAAACACACATATAATATTAACATGTAGATACAACGAACATTCATATATATATATAATACATGTATAGTGTCCACCTCTAAACAGGGGGACCCCCCCGGAACCCTCATTAGTCCTAACCCCAGATTCCCTGATTCCTGGAACTGAGATGAAATGGGAATTAGTATTGTGAAAAAGCTCCTGGAATCTGCTGCTGAATCAATAAAACACGCACAATAAAGATATGCACATTCCAATGTCAACTAATCAAACATGAATGGACTACTAACCATAACATCCCAATATATCCCAATGAGACAGCAATGAACAATTCATCATGTGCGCCAGAAATCCGCTGCTGAATCAGCAAAGCACACAATACAGATACTGTAAGCAAAAGGAACACATTGGAGGGAATGTTTAGCTTTATTATGCTATATATATATCACATAATTGTATATACAGTATATCACATAATTATATCTTTATTTTGGGTCAGCTTATGAATCACCCGGCGGATTTGCTTAGCTTTTTTGGTGGTGTGTTATTAATCCTAGGTGAACATTATATATTATACTATATAGATGCCTATTAGCATGTTTGTTTGCCGAGTGCAAGTGATTTGGAAGGTGGCCAGGCAAATTCGATGTGTATAGTCTATGTGCTGCCTTGCAGTCAAGACAAACTGTGAGGTACTGTGAGCCTATGCTTAAAGGGATCTACAAAGGTTTGCTTACGTATGTGAGGTGTCCCCTGACTAAATTGGTTCTATATATATAATATGATACTCTTTTGGTACTTGTACGTTGTAGTCTGTCACTAAAGACCTGAAACGACAAGCAAGTGTTCTGAGGCCACCAAGGATGGACGATTGGACGAAGCTGGATTACTACCGCTTTTGCCTGTTTCAGCGGCAGGTCCAGGCAGCATGCAGTATCTAAGTCATTCTGAGTCCACATTTGATGATTCGGCAGCTTGCCTACAGGAGGAGTTTCAGCGAGAGAATGAGCAACTGAGAAGCCGCCAGGCACTTAATACGCAGAGATTACAATTTCTGTCTGAATCAACAGGGGCATGCACACTTAGGATCTGTCTTCAGACCAAACATGCTTAAGAGATGGGATCTACTTGAACTCCAGAGCCTGGACGACCCAATTGTTCTTTTGAGGCCTGAACCTCCAAGGCTTTCCAGCAAGACCTCAAGCAGAGGCAAATCTTATGAGAAAAACATATTGAGATTGCTTCGGCAGTGTGCGTGACACAGCCTAGTTACCGAAATCTACCTTATGCGCATGCTCTAGTGCCTGCATAATCATGCATGCGTATGAAAACAATTTGTGTGAATGCACTCAAGCATACATCAGAAAATAGATGCATTTCTATACTCCGATGCAGGTGCGTTTGTCAATTATACTGAGAGACCCAGTAGCCGCTTCCAGGTGCAAGTCCGTCAGCCACTCTATCCTGCGCAGGCCGCGCTTTTCTATCGCAACCTGACAAGCAGTTACCACCATGTTTGCAAAACAGACACGGTGAGACAGGCACAGATTGTTTTGGCAAAGCCACCAGGAGATGGTGGTTGCGGCATCCTTGGGGCCTTCCCTCGAAGACAAGGCATACATACTGTTACATTGGTTGCCTTCACTACTAGTAACAAGAAACTACTAGTAGCAAAGGGCATCGCTACTGCTACTAGTAGCTCCTAGCCTTACTACTAGTAACAAGATTTGCAGGATTTCAAGTTTGATGTTGTTTGATTGGTCGACTGGATCCAGGCAGCCGATGCATTGTCAAAATCTGCCGAGACGGAAAAGTGCTACCCCCAACAACTGCTGCACTCAGATTCCACGGGCCACGCACCTGTTATATCTATGGTAGCTTTGCGCTCTAAATTGTCTACAGTCACTCTCTCCTGCCAGTTTTTGGGATCAAATTGTATTGTAGGAGTGGAAGGGAAGCCCAGTGCCGCTCCGGATGTATGTGCAGTACAGCGGGCAGCTACCATACTATGCGCAGCCAGCGCAGTACCAACAGCCTGCATATGCAGGTGTAAGTGCTGGTGTGCAGCAGCCGGTGGTGCAGATGCCCCAGCAATACCCTGCAACGTATTCAGGCTACGCCGGTGGCGCATATGTTGGACAGCCACAGGCAAGTCCTTCGCCTTATGGGCAATTTGCACAGTATGGTCAGCTGCAGGTCCAACCACAATATGCTCAGTTGCAATACCAGCCGCAGCTGCAGCCAAGTGTGCAGCCACATGCGATACCGCAGACTGTGATGCCAGAGGGAGGCTTTGGACAGGCCAGCTTTGCATTGTTTTGTCATGTCTTGTCTGCTCTGAAGCCAAAAGAGAGCCCAAGGCTTGGGCTCAAGGTGGGCACACAATGCAGCAAGATGTTTCCATATGTTTCCTTTTGATGAATTGAAGGTGATGCAGCCGATCGGCCAGCCTGCATACATCCCTGCTGGATATGCGAAGCCTGGAGAATTGCAACCTGCTTCAGTGTCTCGTATGCATCACAGTGATCATGAAAACAGATTCAAACAACATGGCGCCTTCTTCTCGCAGTCAGCATGTTGTCGTGCTAGACTTTCTGTCGTGGAAACAGTTCCATAACACTTTTGGCCATGTACTTCTTCGCAGGTGCAAATGCCTGGAGCGCAAAGAGTGGGTACCAACCTTACACAAGTAACTGGTCCTGAAGGTGAAGAAGATGATGACCCTAACCGCCTTCCGACTTTTGTCAAGGTGTGGTTTTCAGCTTGTGCTGAAACAGCTTGTACTGAAACTGCAAGTTCGAAGCTACATATCGATTATTTGACAATTCAGGAAAATGCAAGACTGAGTCTCATCTGTATAACATTGCCAGCCAAATAACCATATGCTGATTGAAAGGTCAGCCACCAATTTTTCCATTTCGTACGCTTCATGTTTTCAGTTGGCACAGTGACAACACAACACCTCTGGTTCTGCCATCAATTTAAATACTGTAGATGATCCTATGTTCTTTGTGGGATTGGGGATGGTTTTGAGTGCTTCACTTGCATCGCTTTTCAGGTGCGTGGCCTTCCAGCAGAGCATGATCCACGCATTGCTCGTCGACCCAGGCCGAAGAAGAGAGCTCCTGGCATTTGCTGCGCATAGGCGAGGTTTCGAGGTTGAAGCTGAGAACGAAGAGGAACGATGCTTTCCTCTTTTGTAAGGGAGGTATTCGTGTAATACGAGATATGTAGTAGATATAGTAATAGTAACACATGATAGTACAGTACATGATACTGGAGGGTAAGTAAGCCAAGTAAGTAGCATGAAAGCTTTCTTTTAGGCGAAAGTGACGCAGATTTACTCGGGTTCTTTGAGGAATCTCAGGGGGAGGAGCTCCTTGAAGCAACCTTTGATTCCAAGCCCCTACTAGGGATGGCCTCCGCCTCCACCCTAGTAGCGAAGGCCTCCAACCTAGGAGCGATTTAGGTTCTTCATGTTTCTCTTCATGTTGCTTCAGCTTTCATAGAGTTTCTGACTCTTTGGGTTTAATCTTGCTTGACCTTCCGACCGTTGGCTTTGGCAGATGTTCCCTGTCAGGTGCTCTTGTTCATTTCCTTGAGTGACCTGGGGACTAACATCCACAGGATGATTCGATATTGGAGTGACAATGTTTCACCCATTCCCGACTGCCCTTTGTTATGTACGATGTTTAAAAGTGAGTTTTTTTGCTCCAACTCTATTGATGTCGAACTTGCAGATCAGGACAGTCGGGTCTAATCAATTGATCTGAGTTAGGGAAGCTCGTGGGATGCTGGGATAGGTGCGGCCGCCTTTCCTTCCTTACACAAGGCAATAATATATGGCAAAGCACCCTTGGTTGTGAATCAGATGGAGGTGGTTCGTGCACCTATACGTATATGTTCGATGTTGGGATGCGATTGGCACAGGTGGTATCTTGGCAAAAATGAATGCACCCGTTCGAAATGTATGGGAGTTTGCAGCGCTAGACGCTCTCCCAGAAAGAATAGTTATGCCAACCGTCTATTATATAAATGTCAACGATTGCAGGTGCAAGGCAGCCTATGAAGCCGCACTTCGTGCTGAGGAGGGCCAACTGCATCTGAACTTAGTCGCAGAATTTTGGAAGATTATGAGCAATGCTGGAACTTGACCATCCTTATCCACAGGAGATTGCCTTTGAAGAAGCTGAAGCTGCACGGTACCCAGATCTGATCCATTTTTGAAGTGAAAAAAAGCCACAAGCCGCAAAGGGCAATGAGAACTCGTCGCCTCGGTCTTCAATGGTCTTCATGTTTGTTCACTCAGGCATGGGCCGCAGAGGACGGAAAAACTCGCCGGTGTGGGCGTGTGGTGCCACAATTGTTTCAGTCTATGTCATTGTAACTTTTTTTCCCGAATGACATGAGCGGCGAAGGGTTGATGGAAGCATGAAGTGTCAGATTCGTGTGAAATAGCGTGGTCATGTAACATGTTGAATTGTGGAGGATGATTTTGCTGCGCAGGTGCAGCGTTTTGTGAAATCTGTTGAAGTCCTACGTTGCCTTCGCTGTGACAGTGGGATTGGCGTTCGGAGGGTGGTGTGTTGAAGGTGTCGGTGTTGCCCCGAAGCTGTGTCTTCGTGACAAGTCTCAGCTAAAATTGCGATGTTGGTGGATGTGTGTGTGTGTGTGTAAAACTCTGCCTCTAAGAGTTGGCTACACTCATCCGTGTACAGTTTCCGCAGGGGGGCACAGCAGTTCACTGGAACTGTTTCCGACGGAGCTACCAGTGAAGTTGGATATCCGGCTTGACCAGCTGGATGTACCTGCGTCAATTTTTAAGCTTTGGTAAAGTGCTAGTGAAGAACCTAAGTAGAGCTTGGAGGCCAGGGCTGCTTGATGTGCCGCAGCACTACTGAAAAGTATTCGTACGAAGCGCTTGTTTTGGAGACTTTTTGGCGCGTGACTTTTGAAGGAAATCTCGTATGAAGGGGAGGTTTTGGAGACTTGACGCGTGAGGTTTGGAGGAGGCAAACAAGAGTGTCCAACAAGAGTGTCCCACAAGAGTGTCCCTACAACAGTCCTCTACAAGAGTGTCCCACAAGAAATTTGCACGCGAATTTCCCACAAGAGTTTTCCACAAGAGGTGTCCTAGGGGGTGCCTCACAAGAGTGCCTTGCAGGAGTGTCCCACAAGAGTGTTGCACGAGAGTGTCCCACAATAGTTTCCCACAGAAGTGCTCTACAAGAGTGTCCAGTGTCTTACAAGAGTGTCCTGCAACAGTGTCCCACAAGAGTGTCCCACGAGAGTGTCCCCTACAACAGTGTACCGCAAAAGTGCCCATCAAGAGTGTCCCACAAGTCTGAGTGTCTCCTACAAGAGTGGCCCGCAATGTCCCACACAAAGTGTCCCACAAGGGTGTCTCTACAAGAGTGTCCGACAAGGGTGTCCCACAGTGTCGCACGAGAGTGTCTCCTACAGAAGGGTGTCACAAGAGTGTGCCACAAGAGTGTCAAACAATGTTTGGCCGTTGGTTCTCGGGTGCGTGTGTGCATTCGAGTTCGTGCGTTCCATCTTATGTTGCCAGAAGCGCGCTTGTCCTCTCAATCTTCGCAGCAAGTCTAGGAGGAGCGCGAGAATGCAGATGCCCTTCATTCAGAGCTGGCTGCTTGGCCCAAAAACTGTGCAGGGGCGATGCTGTTTTCTGACCCTATGTGATGATTCCAATTGCCGTGTTGACTCTGAGCTCTGAGCCAACCCCTCACCGCACATGCTTGGTTTCGTTTTCGAGGTGACATCGATCAACAAACGCAGGCCAGGCTGCTTCATGATTACTGGGCCATCTCTCCTGAGTCTCTGCTGACCGACCTTAAGCAAACTGAGACTGTCCCCCAGGTTACTTGAAACACCAATTTTGGTCCATTGGCGCTGAGGCGGGGAGGTGGCTGACCTGATGATGTCGAACTCGAACTCAAATCTGCCAGCGCGATCTTGACCCACCTTCACGGCAGCCAAAATCTGTGGTGCCGCGGTGGCTGAAGCTATTTGGCCAGTACAAATCTGCCATTTGCAGGGTGTGTATTTAGTGTCCTTTGCTAAGTCTGCCAAATACAGGTTATGTCATGGACCCTGGATTTGTTCCAGGTGTCAAGGGGTTTGGATGCCGAATGCTTTGATGCAAGCATCCTTGCATACCTTGGGATTAAGGCTTGTGCAGAGCAATGACGGGCAATAAGCTTACGAACGCCATAGGGAACAATCACCATACTCTTACTTCTTGAGCTGTTCTGGAGTTCTGGATATATATAATATATATAACATAATATAATATATATAATTATATATATGTTCTGCCGACCCGTCAAGAGATTAAGCACCACGACCACAAGGTGTGAATTCAGAATGAAGATCCCTCGCAGTTTAATGCCTTGAGTGGCACTCGTGGAGGAACGAGCCGAATTCGGAAGGCTGATGTGGTTGCCAACAGAGGGCAAAAACGAAGAATGAATGTTGCAAGTGCGTTGAATTTGTTTGGCTTTGCAGCTTGTCTTTTGCATGGAAGGGTGGGATTGCCTCAGTTGTAGTTCTGATACATTTTGAAGAGGATGCAGAAGAATTCGACTGCTACATTTTGCATGCAAATTGCTGGAATTTATAGCATCTGCAGCCTGCAGCTTGGTTACCAGCAAGAAAATCAAGAAGAGGAGAAGACATGACATATTGTGGCAATATATATATATATTATATACGATATAATATAACATTCCTAGCTCTTTTTGAGATTATGTTTGTGCATGGAGAAACTTCGCTTTCAACAGTCTTCTGGAACTCAGAGTTGGATGCTCCATACACTCCCATTCTGCTGAATGTATATCTGTTTGTCTGTCTGTGGAATCTATTGAACCTACCGAAGGTGCCCAGATCAACCTATCATAGGTTCTTTTTACTTGCAGCTAGCACCCACCTTACCCCGCCTACAGAGTGCCTGCCATCCAGCACCAGCAGAACACTTTGTGTGTTGGCCATGGGAGATGCAGCACCTGATGAAAGGACCGTTTGATATTTTCAACGGGTTGAGATACGGATCAGGGCTGGTGGGGCCTAACGCTATTGTGATCTCGCTGTATGCAGAACTCAATTCAGAGGATTGATTCACTGTGATGTCTCTCATATTTGTTGCTTCAAATGTGTTCACAGTCACCAAACAGCAATCATGGCATGTTATGCTCAGGAAAGATGGTGGCCCTACAGATGCGATGTCTGAGGTGGTGTAGGGTTGTCCTTCTTTGTGCAGACTTATCGTAGGTCCGTTGGTCTTCAACTCTACAACCATTCATAACTTAAGAGCAAACTACAGTAGTCCAGGAGAGAAGACCATCATGCAGGATATTTATTTTTGAACAGCTGTGGGCCTTCGGGGCAAAACTACGAAGTGGCCAGATGATTTGGTCTACCTTCCGTCCTGGGGCCACGTTGGGTTTGCACAAAAAAGAGCTGAGCCGGCCATAAGATTGATTCGTGAGCATGAAGTATTGGAGGCAGCTGCCTCCGCACTTCAAACCTTCCGGGCTGCAGCTGGTATCTCAGGAGTGTCTCCAGCTTGACTTTTTGCCGCACCATTCGCACTCGCTGCAATGCCTTGCTCAAGGTGGCAGAGGTTCAGCGACTTAGCGCAGCTGCTGAGCAGGAAGGTTGACCCGATACAAATATAGAAAGCAGATGAAACCACACGTCGCCAATTGAATACTAAGGTGATTTGTGCAAAGCATAATGGACATAATGGACACTTTTTGGCGCTCCTGCTAGGGGGGCCTGATCATAAAGAGATGCCCTTCAGTTTGCCTTTAAGTTATGTCAGGCGAGTGGGTGGCTTTGCAGCCATTTGCTTTGCCAGCTTGTGTCAGGCGGCCCTCAAAAGCCCATGGCGCAGACATCTAGACAAAGCACCGGCAGCACTCCGAACACAATGGCACCCTCTGCTGTCTTTGGAGTGCGAGTTCAACATCAGCACTTTCCGTGTCCGCGGGGAAGCTTCACCATCGGTGTCAATGGTGTCAATAGTGTGAACCGCTACAGCTCGCTTCATAGCACAGCAGCGCCAGCACAGCATGCTGCTCCATCATCTCCTATGGTAAGGACTTCGCAAAGCATGTCCGGCAGCCTATCAGTTCCATTAGGCAATCGATCGGAGGGATCTACATTTGCATCTTCCAGAACCCACGAGCCCAAAGAAGCATTACAATCTTTGATATTGGGCAACAAGCGCTTTCAACAAGGAACCCGTTCCTGTCATTTCGGAGCACGCAGTCCATTTGCAACTATAGTTGCATGCACTGACGGCCCAGGCCCTATTGAACCCATTTTTGATGCTCCACCTGGATCCCTTTTTGTGTCAAAAGTTCACGGATGCCTTGCAAGCTCAGAAGGCTGGGATGTTTCTGAATTGTTGGGCAGTAAAATAATTGTTTGGTGATTGATATTTGTACAGTGTTGTACAGATGTGATAGATGATGACAGATGTGATGTTTCTTCATGTTTCTTCTAAGGCATCCCTAAACAATTCCAGCGATTCAATTTACACTGTACCGTCCTGGACTCACATGATTGCAGGCTTGGTGGAAAAGCTTGAGCTCAGCATCAGACTGGGAAGTAGCCTGATACTTGTTCTGGGGCACAGAGAGTCTCAAGTGATGCTTGATGCGGCGCAAAACTACATGGAGGGGTGCAATGCGCAGTTCCCTACTCTTCCGGAGGCAGTTGAGGACATGGGGCCCTCTGCAGATGCAGCTTTTGTTGCAGAACGTGCAATGCACCTGAACATGATCCACACAGTGCGTTACCTGCTGAGTGGGCGATTGGGAGAACATGTGAGGAGCAACAAAGTGGAGATCCAATGCGGTATGTTTGAGCCCCTGACGGGGTCAGTTCAGTTCATGGGCCCAATCGCAGGGCAAACACAGCTATTGTATCCAGTCTTTACAGACTTCGGATATCCTGCACCTCCAGTTCTTTTGGGGAATGTGCCAGCCAATTTCAAAGCTCTTTCAGAGAAAGCCGCTTCACATTTCGGAGAAAGTCAGGATGATTTTGGTGTCCAGGAAGTTCACTCTTCTGACGAATTCACGGAGGGGCAAGCTCTGGAGCCTACGAACGGTTTAGAGGTAGCCCCTGGCAATCAGAGCATCCTTGGTGCACAGGTGGAAATGAAACCTCAAACCCCACAATCATCTCAAAGTTCAACAAGTGCAGAGCCCGAAGATCACACCCTTTCCACGCTTGAGTTTGAAGCAGGTGAATGCACAGAGGCTCAAGCCGTTGAAGAAGCTGTGCAACCTGTGCAAGTGCAGGCCTCATTTATGGCCGCTGATGTTGCAGAGGGAGAAATGAAGCCTCAAGTATCTCAATTCTCTCAAAACTCTACAAATGATGAGCCTGAAGATCATACTACTGGGGCAAGCGAGTTTGAAGCAGCTGAATCCCCGGAGTCTGGCATGCAAGAAGGAGCTGAGCAAGCTAGTCCAACCCCGTTGAGGGATGCAGAAGAGGGCGAAGTAGAGGTGAACGAGGGAAGGATTCAACAGGAGACTCAGAATCGAGCAGAAGAGCACGACAAAGATCAGCCTCAACCACCAGTCAGCAGAGTCATGGTGGGTGCGGGTCTTGCAGTTGTAGCCATTTTGTTGAAACTCAGCTGCATTCGTAGTTTCCCCGCGTCATATGTCACAGCTTGGCCGCGAATGCACATGGACCGAGATTGCTGACAGATCTGAATTGTTAGTGATGGGTTTGTCCATATTTCGCGGACGACGATCAGAAATTGACGATAACTTAACACATAAAAAGCACATGCCAAAGAACGGAGTGTTGACAGTAGAAGGCAATGCATGCAGAGAAAAGAGACAGTAGGGGACCTATGGGTACCAATAGGGATTGAGCGACGCCAAGATCAGTCCCGGGCCAAGCTGTCGTCATTTGCTCCTGCTATTTGTCTGACAGATTGAACCACATTGGCTCTGGTCTAGTCCCTTTTTGGCCTTTCCGGTTGTTCAAGTTGCACTCAGGTTGAGGAAGGGAGAAAGAACATGAAAGAACAGAAGCATAAGGGAACACACCTTAAAACTGTGGAACCATGTGGAACCCGTCATTCTTCAGACCAAACGTCACAAGTCACTCGCTCAAGGCTGTTTAGGCCGTGAGAGACTGGTCACCCTAGGCTACTTTACTTGCTAGGCAGTTGCTTCCAGAAAGCAAGTCTATTAAAGCATTCATGCATCATGTCAAATGGTGTCAACATTTAAAGGCGTGCTTTTCTGAAAACTACTCCACCCATCATGCAGATTACAGTATGTGTGTTGGCATTTGGGCTTCAGTTGTTTGGACATCCTACCCCTTCCTTGTTCCTACCTCTTCCCTGCTAATTGGGCCGCCCAAGTACTGGGGCTGTCAGTCTTTTGTTCACCATAATGAAAAGGACATGCCACATCTGCTCAATTTATATACCGGGGGTCGCGCAAAGTGACCCTAGATCTCCGTCTTCTCTCACCCTTGGAGGTTTGCATATTTGACATATATATATATATATGCTAGCCCCCCCCCAAAAAAAACCTATGTTTCTGAGTGCTGGTGTGCAGTTGGTAAGCATATTTGTTCATTTAACAATGTATATACTACAAAAATGTCCAAATCCATAAGGTTATGTGTTTACTAAACAGTTCTTGGATGGAGTAATCTAATTCATTGCAACTCCATGCAAAACCATATGTCTTGTTTTTAGGGTGTGAATTGTACTGCTCTTATTGAATGCAGTTGAGCAAGTACATCATAATCAGAAGGCAAAGAATTGCAAACCCTAAATAGTTAAATTCCAGTCTAATTCCAAATAAATCTAAATTCCAATCTATTCAACTCTACTCTACTTTGTATATTCAAATTCAAATTTGAGTCTATTTCAATTATTTGTAAATTATATTTTGATTCAAAGGTCTATCACTATAGATTCTAATTTACTTAGGATTCAATGCAAGCCTAATTGTAATTTGATTTCAAGCTAATTCTAACTTCATTGCTATACAAGTCAGATTCAAATCTAATGGTGTATTCTTTCTCAATTTAGTTTTAATTTGAGTGAAATTCTCATTTACTTCTAGAGAAGTGGTGTTACTTTGAACATGAGAGATTTTATGTAGGTTTTCCAATATAGAAGAATGTGCTTTCTTAAATGAATTAAATTCACCACCAGCAACACCCACTCTCTAGAATGACACCAAAACTGAATTAGAAGTCCATGTGCATTGAACTAGAATCAAAATAGGATGAAATTAGACATATAGAAACCAAACCTAATTTGCAATGACAATAGTGTAAAATTAGATGTGTAAAACAATTGAATCTGAACCGTATAAAGGCATTAACATTAGACATTAATTACTAGTAAATTGGAAGAGTCAAAGCTACAATTGAACCCAAAATAGAATGAAATAGAGCTAAATTAGAAGTAGACTGGAATTAAGTTAGAGTTGAAAGAAACACATTGAATAATAATCCATTACTTAAATTGAAATTGACTTAGAACTAAGGTAGAATTGAATTAGAGTTGTTTTACCTAGAGCTTGGTTAGTAGAACAGTATTGACTTAGAACTAAATTGGAATCTAAGTTCAATTAGAATTGAACTAGATCTAATTTGCAATCTCAATTTGATTTCAATTATTTGAAGTTCAATTAGGATCATTTTCTATTTAAATTAGAAGCACGTTGCAGATTCAAATTTAGATTCAAGTTTGAATTCCATTAGATCTAAAATAGCCAAACATAATTAGAATTAAAATAGAAACGCGTAAATTAGAATAAAAACTGAATTAGAATTTGTCTATACAATGAAGTTAAGCTAAATAGACTTAAATTAGAATTCAATTAGGCTCAACTTAGGCTTAAAGTAGAACTATGTTACATACTCAAATTAGAATCCATTTAAAGTTTAATTAGACTTCAATTAGACTCAATATAGAAATTTAAATAGAAATACAAGTGATTTTAAATTGGAATAAGAATTGACTTAGAATTTAGTCAAATTGTATGTGCACTAAAATTCATAGAAGTAAATTAGAGTTGAATTAGTTGTTAATTAGAATTGAATGAGGAACAAATGTCGGTAATCAGTAATATTCCAGGATCAAAATGTACTTAGTGCAATTTTGTCACTACCAGAGAATGCCAGAGAATGCATTCCTGCCCAATACCAAGATCCAAGATTTGCACAGAAGTTTTGTGGAAAATCTTGGATTTGGGAACATCCTTTATCACTGTATCAATCCAAGATTTTAGCCAGGAGTCTTGCGGGAATCTTGGATCTTGGATCTTGGTATTTCCAAGATTTTAGCCAGGAGTCTTGTGGGAATCTTGGATCTTGGATCTTGGTATTTCCAAGATTTTAGCCAGGAGTCTTGTGGGAATCTTGGATCTTGGATCTTGGTTTTGATCAAGAATGCATTCTGAATGCATTGAATGCATTCTGAACGCATTCCTTCCAAAGTGGATAAACAAGTCATGCAACCTACATGCGTGCACAAGTATATATATATATATATTTTTTTTAAACGGTACCACAAAAACTAAGGTCCAAAAGGCCGCCAAAAATAGACAACATATTGCAAATACCAGCAAAAGTGAGGTGGACATAGGTTTTGGGGGGGGGGTACCATATATATATATATATTTATCTTCTTTGTTCTTTTCTTATAACTGTTGCTGTATACTAATCGTAACCCCTGTACCCCAGTTGAAAAAACTGGAAGGCTGTGGCTGTGGGGTACGTACTGATGACGGTCCGAAAATTGTTGTTGATAACGCAACGTGAGTGCGAGTTGTTAGGTCTTGAAGGACCATCATTAGGCAAATGGGAAGTCTGAACATTGAAGCAGCACCGTGAGAACTACCGCAACTTGTCTTTGGTTTCAATTCAATTTGCCAAGATGGCGGAAGTTCAACGATGTTTTGGAGCTGACATGTGAGGATTGGTGTGGGACGACGGGGAGGACTTCGTCTTCTTCGACGCAATTTGATGAGACGCATGGGCTAAGGCGGCTCAACACGCTTCCTGAGCCTCGTGACGCTTGCGCAAAAAGCAAGGCATGTGACAGAACCGAAACACATGCAGGCAAGCCTTTTGGCTTGCAGAATGAGATTGTCCAATCGGATCATTGGATCAGTTCCTGGAAGCATGCATGGCATGGAGCCCAGTGTTCCCGATGTATCCGAAATGTACAGAGTTCCCTGATTCTCAGAGCTCAATGCGGCACAGAGATCTCAAGGGAGCGACGATTAGTTGGGGCATCACGGAATGCAGAGTCAAAACCAAGAGCGAATGATGCTTGCAGACAGAAGCTGCGTCCTAGTGGATTGCATCACATGGTGTGCACAACCATGCATATACGATCATATTATATACGCTTGTTGTTCACCCACGCGAAAGGAGGGATGTGCTCAAGCGGATGAGGAGGCAACATTGGTTGTTCCGAAGTAAGCACCGTGTTTGCCCATCTCTGAAGCAGTTGTAGTGGCTCCGAGGCAATGATAACAGCCAAGAGCAAGCTGGCAAACGCGATGAAAGCGGCCACGCCACTGGGCCCAACATCTTAATTTGTCATAGTTTATTAATGTTTATTATATAAATTTGTTTCCCTAAGAATCTAGGAACCAAATCATTAGTGCGAGCGTGGGGGGAGCTTCCCAAGAAACGTGACCTATCCGTAGCGTCCTAGTAGCTAGGCCAGGCGCTTACAGGTTTGCCCCTGACTTAATTAGGTCTCTACTTAACTAAGTAGGGGGCAGAGCAGGCTAAAAGAAAGGCATCGGGCTTTCACTTCAAGATCCCGGTGTTGCAACGTGTCGCGATGCGAGGCTTGCAGGAGTGTCAGAGGCTACTCTTCTAGAGGCGGCCTGCGGCCTGGCGGCCTGACTTCGGAGCTTGGATGTTTCAGTCTAGATGTTCCAAAGTTGTGGAAGCATGTCCTTTGTCATTCTTGCCCGGTTTGCGCAAGAACACTCAAGCTTATAATGTCTCTTTCTGCGGCCATTTTTCATCATTGTTATGCCTTTGACAGGTCAGTGCTCAAGAGGAAGAAGCGCAGGAGAAGCCCCAGGTCGCAGAGGCTGGAAGCAAGACGGATCTGGAGCAGCCATGCATGCAGCTCAATCCATTTCAGGGGGTTGGAGTTGCGTCGGACTCATTCGGGTAATGCACCAAACTCCAGTCAGCCCATATCACAGACAGATCTGGCGAAGGTCCACAAATCATAGCAACTCCAGACCTTTTTAGTTGTATTTCCTGTGGGCTGGCAACAAACCAACTTGAAAGACCCTCGGTGACAAACTAACTAGCATAATTAGCAGAACAGAATGAGAACATCAAAAGATTAGTTTCACAAGGGTGCTTGGTCAACCAACCAAGCTCTAGGCCTCGCAAAAACACCGCTGGCATTGAATCCGAAGTTGATGTGCAGGGCGAGCTGAAGAACGGCTCCAGGGTTGAGATTCACGGTCTTGAGTCTGAGACTGGGAAGCAGCTGAATGGCCAGGCTGCTCAAAGTGTTGCACTGCTTGGTTTTCTTTGTAATCTCTAATATCTCGAAACTGTTTCATGCGTCCAGGGTTCTACCGTGTCCTTGCATGTAGTAGCTTTTCTTTTCAAGCCAACAGCTTACTGCATCTTAGTATTTAGTTTACTATCTCCTGACAGCATGTTTTGGCAAATAAAGAGAAGAAACATATTGGAAAGGTGAACATGACAGCATTCTCTTGCTCCGCTTTGACAGAGATTCGACTTGAAAACAGAGTGCAGGTTGGAACGATCACCAGCTTCCTGGAGGAAAAGGGCCGCTATCAAATAGCCTTGGCGGACAAAGTTGTCAGCATCAGGCAGACGAAGCTTTGAGCATTTGGCAAAGGGACCACAATATGGTAGCTCCTAGTAGCGTTCTTGTTCCTAGTAGTATGGCCAGGAGCCCCTAGTAGCATCCTTGCTCCTAGTAGCGATGCCAGGAGCCCCTAGTAGCTTCTTGTTACTAGTAACGGTAGCAACAAAGAACTGAAGAGGCTTTGAAAGCCAGTTTGCAACAGAAAGATCTAAGTCTTGAGGCTTTGCAAGCTAAAACCTGGCCACCTAGGCTGGAGGCCATCGCTAGCAGGTTGGAGGCAATGGCTAGCGGAGCTAGTAGGTTGGAGGCCATCGCTTGTAGGTTGGAGGCCATCGCTAGTAGTTTGGAGGCCATTGCTTCTAGGTTGGAGGCGTGTGTGTGTGTGTGTCTTCAAACTTTGTGCTTTGAGACCTGAAAACCTGCAACTGCGACAAGCTACTGGAGATGGTGCAGGTGCCCCGTAATTTGGGACAAGGGTTGGTCAGGTGGGTGCACCTGTATGACATGTATAAGTTGTATGGCTCCTGCATGTCATTCCGCTTTGAGCTTGATTGCCTATGTTTTGACAACAAATCATGTCGGCTCAAAGGGGGTCATATGAATGAATGTTTAACTTTTGGGCCACTGATTCATGACAGACAGACAGGTACTGAAAGTACGTTTCAAGTTGGAGACAGAGTCGAGGCATGCTGCACAGCTTGAGGGCGTTGGGGGAAATCTATTAAAGCTACAGCAAGTGAATGGGCATTCATATATGCGTTTTGTGTGTTCTCAGTTTGCTTGCGTTTGCTTGTGTTTGCTTTGTGCCTTTGGAACTTGATCCAAACAGGATAGTCATGGATTTCTGGCAGATTGCTGGCAGGTCAACGGTCTCGAGTCTGAAGCTGGCAGGACGCGTGTCCCCAATTAGCATAATTAGCCTTCAGAACTGGAGCAAACATGTGCAAGCCATTAGTAGGGAAAGCGTGAAGAAGTGTTGGATTGGCAAACATTAGCACTGGAAGAGTGGGAAGAGTGCGAAGGAAGCTCAATGAGCGAGTCGGTGTGACCAAGGGTTTCCTGGCGGACAAGGATTGGACTGGGTGTTTGTCTTGATGAGTTGATGACAACAGTGTATTTCTATTCAGAGATGCACAAGCCTCTTTGTATTTCTTCTCAGCGTATTCCAGCTTCTGTAGTTCTTTGTTGATCGTAGAGAAAGCTGTGTTCAGGGCCGCTGGACGATTGAAATGGAAGATACCAAGGAGGTTGTATCTGTAAGGCACAAGGATGATTTGATTTGGACAAACTCATGTGATAATGACTAACTCATCGGCGAAAGAGTAAGGTGTGGAAAACAGCATTTGCATCTACCATTTCAGGCCTGCCAACATGACCTATGTGGAAAAGGCTTCCGAGTCCAGCACATACCTGAGACTGAGCTAATATTTCCTTAGTCCTCTTTGAGAGAAACTGCTTGGACACTTTGCAGACCTTCTACAAGTGAATCTGAGAACAATTTGTCATGATGTTTTGCTAGTTCTATTTCACATTTTCTTGTTGGAATTCATGGTGATTTGAGGCTCCAGCTCCTCTGGATCAGAGGAGAAGAAGCCGAAGAAGAGGAAACGATCCTCAGCGAATCCAGAAGAGGCACGGAGTGTAGAGCAATCGAAACGAAAGGTGCAACAATGGCGGAGCAAAGAAGCAACAGATCATTCAAAAGTGACGCATAGGTAACAATCACGAGTCTATATCAGTTGTCTCTTCAGTTTTCTGTTTGGCAGCACACAGACCCTTAGAGCCTGAATATTCTTTAGGAGTAGTTGGCCTGTCAGGCGCTGGAAGCTATGCTGAAGGGTGAGAAGGTGAAAACTGACAAGAAGAAAAAGTCGGCACGCGATGCAGGCCATAGCTGGTAGTGTCCGATTTACTCCGATTCCAGAAGTTTCAGACTCTTTGCAATCGCATAAACTCACGTTTCTATACTTTTCAGTATTCAGGAAAATTCATGCGTATATATGAAGTTCTATGATAGGGTCTTCCGTATCTTTACTGTTGTTGGCAGTCTGCGTGGTATTGGCTGTTTGGCCTTTTTGCGATGTGAGGTGCAGCAGCTGCCTGGGCAGCCCAAGCCAATGAGGCTCAAAGCAAATCAAAGCACTGCGGTTTTCCGATCGTTTCCGGATCTGATTATATATAGTTTATATATAATATATATATATATATATGATATTTGTTCTCGTGCTCCCTAATGAGTTTTTGCTTCAGACTTCAGGCAGAGACGGGACCTTTGCGACCTGGTGACATCGTGGAAATACATGGCCTGCAGTCGGTCAGTGGCCAGGCGCACTGTTCCCGCAATAAGCTCTTTCGATTTTCTTCTGTCTCGTTCTCACCCGAGGCGCTTAATGGCAAGCACAGTCCTAAGCTTGCACGCGGTGCCTTAATCCATCTTAATCCAAAGAGCTTTCTTTGTCAGACATATTATAGCGACTAACTCAGTGACACTCAGAATAGTGTGATGCTATCAAGTTAAAACGTCCACACGGAAAATACTCAATCACAACCATGGATGAGCAATGTTGAATATCATTCTTTCTCGGCCTGGTAGGGCCATGAATTCAATCAGAGCCTCTGAAATCACTTTCACTGTTTCTTTGAGGAGTGGCTTGATCACAAAGTGGGATGAGGTCAAGGCGGATTAGCGCTGCAGATTTTCGTTCTATATACTTGGCCGAACTCAGGCAACACCTGTCCTGTCTTGTTGGGGCATCATGTGGCATCCCTTCATCAGTTCTCATGTCTCGTCTTGTGCCAAACTTAGAGATCACTAAACTGTCAGGGCCGCTTTCAAGTCGAGCTTGGCATGGCCAACCTGCAGAGTTTGAAGCCAGAGAATCTGAAGCGTACTGCCACAGCCCCAATTGCCTTATATAATTATTGCCTTCATTTGAGAAAAACAAGTCGAAGATGAAGAAATCAAAGCAATGTGACGATGCTCCAACCCAAGGCAGCTCAGCCGCAGAGACCGCATTCTGAAGGATGCACCTTGGCCAGGGAGATTCAGAAAGTCGTTACAAAAATCACCGAATTGCATGTCTTGGTATGTCTAATTTCTGTGTTCGTATGTCTTGGTCAGTGTTCAGTTCAGTATTGCCTGCCTTACTACTGGGCTTGCGCTGGGGAATGGACTTGACTAGAAACAAAACTGATTCAATCAAGCTTATTGCGCAGGAACAGTGTGAACCTGGTCCTTGCCTTTTAACCCATGATAGTTGAGACTGTGCTTTGCCACTTGCTCATGTCTTCAATCTGCTCCTTGTGGCAAAATGCTTACACCACGCTTGTGTCAGCAGCCTCGCTTCGTAAAGAATGCAATGATGCAGGTGGAGAATTTGCAGATTCCTACTCTGGCAGCACTGCTGGCTACACACTACTATAAAGAAAAGAGCAAAGCGCGGGGGTTACAGACCTTGTATCATACACTGATTGCTTTTGCATTTCAGCACAGTGATTTGAAGACAGAAACAACATGTCAAAGACTTTTTTTTGTGTTGTCTAGTCCAAACTTTTGCACAGGTTTTAGGCTCAGATACTGCAAGCGCTGACTAAAAGGGTGTTGAACATTGTTAAACCATGGATTGGTCCTGGCTGGAAGATGCAGAACGCGTAGAAGAGCACTTGTACGCAGCTGGTTTGCGGTTGCACGACAAGTGGATTTGCAGCACCCTTCTCCGTGACGAGGACCATTCAACTGTGGTAGATTTGTCCTGTTCTCGGTCGTTTGCAAGTGTGACAAGTTTTTTGTTGGGCAGCGGCGACATCAGTTGCAAGCAACGCGATCACGAATCCTATTCCGATTTCCTTCAAGCTGTAGTTTTGCAAGAATCTTGAATCAGAAGGATTGTTTTATGACAAGGAACTCTGCGGCTGTCTCGTTCAACAATAATTACAACTGATTGTGTTTTCAATATGTGATAAGATAAGCCAGGAGCCTTGCCAACATTCCGAGGCGTCATACAGCTGTGTGCTTTGCAACTTGCGGTGGCCTCAAGAACTTTTGTGGCCTGGACGGATGAAACTGCGCACTTCCAAAGAGGACTGGGGAATGAGTTCAATCAAGCCACCACAAGTCCAAGCAAATCTAGAGAAGTCAACGGAACAGTCAACAAGGGAAACAAGCCGATGGGGACATGCAAAAAGACCATGGGAGAAACCAGACTGACTTGCTCAAGCAACCTTTACAGCAGTCGACGGATTTGACACAAGTGATGTTCATTGGTATTGGCTGCTTGTTTCACTCCTGGCAGGTAAGGTGAAATGGTAATACAGAACCACAAATGACGTGTGTAAGATGGCTGGGAGCGTACCAACCTAAAGCTCTATTTCAGTATCATGGGCACAGCAGCATCAAAGTCTCTCCTTCTGGTCAGAGCTGGCAGGAGCTATGATAGAACATATGTTTGGATGCCAAAAGTCGGTGCTAAGGAGTTTATACAAAAACAAAATGGCAACACTAGTTTTGTGATGATAGATGTTAAAAGCAAATTATGAAGCGGCACGCAAGAACATACTCTAAAACAAGCTAGGTGCTAGCGTGGCGCTTGTGTGTCGCCAGTGCTTTTTTGAACCAGCTTTTGATTGCTAGAAGCCATTTGCTTGGACCACATGTTTAATCGGGGGATGTGCAGTTTCATAGGGCTAGCAGGAGCAAGGACACAACTTCAAATGGTTTTCATGTCGCACTATTCCTAGTGAGCTTGCTTTGTCCATTTTCACACCTTGTTTTGCCAGGGCTAAGCCAGGTAAATGATCGAGACTCTTCGCGCTAGGCTCGCGCTAGCTCCGCGCTAGCTCCGCGCTAGCAGAAATTGCTGAAATGTGTGCCCGGTAGTGCACGGCCCAAATGACAGACCCAATAGTGTGAGAACAAAATGCGCGCAACGCTCCTAGGCGAAGTAAGAGCGGCACTTGACATCACCAAAGCCCACGCGAGTCGGCAGAACAAACAGCTCAAGCAAATGCAGCAAAGCAGCTCATCTAGCAGTGCCGACGGCAGCTCTAGTCAGCATAGGTACAAAAGTATGCGCTAGTGTATTTTGCTGTGAAACGAACAAAGCCATACCACAAAACAAGTGTTCACCGCTTGTGTAAGCTTTATGGAAGACATGAAGCGGCACGCACGCATTTCGGAATTCGCGCCGTTTTCGGGAACAAGACTTTCGTCAACCACACATATGCAATATTTTTCAATCCTGAAGCTGGGATTGTGAGCGAACATAATATGCACAGCAGATTATTGGGAGTGACAGCAGCTGTGACTGTTTTTATACAAAGCTTTTGTCAGGAGGCCGATGCACTGGCAGGAGGACTAAGTTTACAAGGGCAAGTTGTGGCAAGATATATGCTTTGCTCAGGAAGAGTCCGCCTGCCTGTGAACACATTGATACTCAAGATCTCGGATGAATTGGACCCGGTGATCGATTTCTTGCCTCCATCGCTGTGTCCTGCATGTTCTGCTACAGTTCAAAGGAAACCGCACAAAGAGGATCAGGCCATCAACTCCATTTTAGTCAGATCATCCTCAGCTGACCTCAGTAATGTACCCATGAGAATTGCACTTGATGTTGCTCAGAATGTCTTTTATGGCAATGATCACGAGCACATGATCGTGGACGAAGAGATGCTGCAGTTAGGCTATGGGCACATGGCCTTGCGACTGACGGTCCCATCAACAGCATCAGTCTATAGTGCTTTGCGACTAGGGCTACCTGGGTGCTCAATCGACTACTTGCCGTCAACACCCGCAAGATTGACTGTTACGGTATATCCTGCCAGCGTACATCTTCCACATGCAAACTCTCCAAGTCTAAATCCAAGCGAGGTGGCCCAGTGGCTGTCTTCAGTGGGAAACTGTCATGTTGCTTCGTATACCTCTGGTTGCAGTGCCCACGCAGTTGTTGCAGAGCTGGCCAGTGTGGGTTGCTGGCATCGTGCATTAGCTCTTAATGGCGAACTATGGCAAAGGACAGTGATGATAGTATCTGCTACAGAGAACTTTGAAAGTCATGCCTGCACACTTTCCAGCCGTCCATCAACACGGCGTATCATGCTGTATTGGCTGAGAGCTTTGTCCGGTCTTGGAGTGGTGGCAAAGCGATTGGTCCTAGCTTTTCTTGGTGATCCACCTGTCATGGTGCCTAGCGACATCGGGTCGCTTGAAGATGCGATGCGCGTATCGAGAAACGTCATTATCGTCGGTGGGCATTACACGCTCCCTCAGGGGCTGAAAATCAGGTCGCCAGTCAACCTGATCGGAGATGGTCAAGTGTTTCTCCATCTGGGGTCTCCAGTGCAGATCCGATCAGAGTTCGGCGCAGAACTTCGGAACTTGACTTTTCTCGGGGAGCAAACCGGAGAATCAGACAATCGTTCAGCAGTTATTGCTGTTCAGTGCTCGTATTTGGTAGCCATAGGTCGTGGGTACAGGTGCTACTCGGACATCACTCCAGTTGGAGGCAGACGAGCATTTGCATGCTGCAGCTGGGGCCGACCTTCAATTACTCTGACAAACTGCACGATTCGAGGAGGCCATCATGGGGTGGATCTCCGGGGTGGCTGTGGTGTGCGTCCCAGAATGGGAAAGAGTAGAAGGCCGATACTAGCATTTCCTGCGACTCAGTACCTAGAGGATGGGCTTGACCTTGGTGCTTGGCTTGAGCGCAATAGAAATCAACACCAGGAAGTTGACATGCCCAGCATCGAGTTTTCAGGCAAAAGAGCCTATGTTCCTGGTTGGAAGCAGCATGTAATGACATTTGCACAGCTGATTGACTGCGAGATCTCCAACTCAGTGACTGAAGCAATTAATGCTTGGAGAGGTGCCCGTTTGGAAATGACCCGCTGCTGGATACACAACTGCGGCCAAGGGCTTACTGTCAGCCACTTTGAGACGCCTAGTGATCTTGAACAATTTAAGGAATTTCAATTGGCACCTCATATCTCTATTCGAGAATGCCTATTTGAAGCCATCGAAGGCAATGACTGGTCAAGTGCAATATCCCTTGGACGCTTTATGACATCTGGATTTACGAGAAGCCAAGAATCTGAGTTGACCAAAGGATTCATGCCGGGATACTTGTTGGCAGAATAGGAATAGTCATAAAGCATCGCATAGTGATATCTACGGCGGTTATAATCCAAACAAGCGGACCTTCAAAGCAATGTCGATAAGAAGCCCCTTGCACTCCACTACAGTCACTCTCTCTCACACTCACCCATTCACTCTCACACTCACTCTCACTCTCACCCTCACTCACACTCACCACACACTCACTCACCACCACCGCCACGATCTCCACCTTCATCACCACCATCACCTCTCTGGACCCCAATGCGTCTAGATTTCTAGACTTTCTGCTGCACCTCTGGGCCTCACACACACACACTGTCTGGGGTCTCTTGCCGGGAAATTTTTTTGACTTTTAGATCTCCCCGGATCTCAAGACCTTTTTGGATATCAAGACCTCTACATCTCTAGTTCCTCTGGAGCCCAATACCGTCTTCTGCTTCTACACCTCTAGATTTTAGACTTTTAGACCTCAAGACACTGTCTGGGTCTCTTGCCGGGATAATCGTGATGGCACCACTACGCGTTTGGTCTCTGATGTCATCACCATTGACCAAGGAAGCAAAGGAAAAAGTGCAGGGCAGTATTTTTTGGAGGCTGAGCTTTTACGGAATACTTTGTGCAGGACTTGGAGTGTGAGATTTCTATAGAATTCTTACATGGTGTACAAGTGTACAAGAAAAAATGAACAAACATGAACAAACAATATATTCACTAAAGACTGCTTCTGCTTTTGATTAAGCAATAACTCAGGCGCTGTTGCAATGCTGGGGTCATTTGCTCGCGAACAAATCTTCTTGCAAGAAGTAATCAAGTGGAACATGTCAAGTTCGGAGCATTCCAGATCTTCAATGGCAAGACAATTATGGAGGAGAACACTTACTGTATCAAGAGTTCAGGGAGACAATTGATTAAGTTTTACAAATATGTGTTTTCTGTCTTTCATTTGCTTGTATAAGGAACGACACCTCCGTCATTTGGCAGCATGGGTCATATTGTAAATTTTTGGCTGGTCGTATTCGCAGGAGAATCAGATCAAACAATGTGCAATTGCACTGACTGCAAGATCCGGACTGTCTGCTGCTATTTCTTGGGCCGCAAAGCTGGAACTCAGGCTCGGTGGTGGCTACTTCTCTTGTCCTCTCCTGCAATCGCTTTCAACAGTCCCTCAATGTGCAACTGATTTGAGGAGATTGGCTCACATTTTAAAATGTCTAGGCAGCAAAGATTCATCCCGTCATATTCTTATCTCCATTCGCACTGCATAGAATTTGACCTTTGGAGTGAAGTGCCTGCCAGGTCAAATTTGCTGCAGATGTGTGAGGTTGGCTTGAGGTTATCATCTGCACGAGCTCAGCTGGAGGTTAATCTTAGCCAAGATAGTCTGATTGGGCTTGGAGATGGCATCGTAATCCAAGGCTCAACAAGCAATGTGGAGATGGAGGGATGCCGGATTGCCGATTGCAAAAGAATGGGTATTCATGCATTCAAGGAATCCAATGTCACCTTACGCCAGTGTCAGATTCTGCGGAATGGACGCGGTGTCGTGATTGCTTCTGGTAGCCGCGCTGATATTTCTAGATCCTCTTTTGAGGGCAATACTGGTTGGGCCGTGCGCTTCGAGGGACACCCAGACGACGACTTGTCACTGGGTTCAACTTCGTCTATTGTCGGCAATTCCTTTGGCTGCCCAGAGAAAGGCAATGCCGGCCGAAAGCGGGTGCGGGTTGACACCAGGAGCAGTGAGACTTGAAACGCTTTCTTCATCCATGATGTCATACCTGTGGCATGCAGGATCATGCAATAACAAGGATCATCAAGCATCCATATTCACTAGATGGATTGGAGCTGGCCTTTGCAGGAGTGAGATGGTCCGTTGTTTGGCAAATTCCTCGCCGGGAGAAGGTCTTGTCGAGCCTGAGGCCACCCTTCCCACTGTTCTAAGGGTCTGAAATTCTTAAACAGAACATCACTAACTTTACAGGTGGACTTCTTTCAACGTGACCATTGACGCAGCAGATGTTTTGACGTTTTGACCTTGTTTTATAAAGTTGGTTCAGTCGCCAGCAGATACAAGCATCTAGAGCGTGCGCAGTGGCGTTGGGTCCCCAAAATAGGGAGAAAAAGACTCTCTACGAGTACTCTAGGCTGTAGGCAAAGATACTATATGACAAGTACCAGATTGCAAAAGCAAGAGTGGTCATTGTCAGGTCAAGTTACAGAAAACTTCACATTGCGCTGTACTTGCAGACGAGATGGCGCAGCTTTCCCTCCAAACGGAGATGTTGTAGCAACCGCCCAATGCGAAAAGTGTAGATTTGTACTTTCATGGCGGAGCTGTCCATTGAAATCCAAGCAATGGGACTCTGTTGTACAGACATGTACAGACCAACACATTGAGTCGGCCTTCAAAAATATGGTGTGCAGCAGTTAAGGGATCCTGCCAGAACAACCATTACACTGTCACATTGAACATTGCTATCTTTGCTTCTTGCTTCTTGCCTTCTTTTTGATTACCTTAAAGACATATTGAAGACTTAAGGCAAACAACATTGCCAAGCCATGAAATAGTCCGAATTGCAAAACTGTCGAAGAATGCAGCTGGTGAAAGCAGCACAGTGAAGCGAATTTGTTCGAACACGAGCTGCAACAATATGCGGGCTGATGAGTTTGACCAAAAGCAGGCAGAGGCGACTTCTCTTTTGAATTGTATGGTTGAGTGTGGGTTTGACTCTTCAGTTTTGTACACATACTATAGGTCGCAGGTCAGTCTTGCAGCATTGAATTGAATGGTTTTGATATGTTTGTGTTTGATCAGGTTTGAATTGTTCATATCCCGAACCAGGTTATAACCTACATTTCTGTCGTTAGCTGTAAACGGTCTTCGTTCGCGTGACATCTCGTGACTTGTCTCATGAAGGAGCTTTTTGACCGACTAGACTGGCAAGGCCGTGGCTATTTAGGAGCTGGGCAGGCCAGGTTGAGCGCAGCTTGTGGCAAGTACACAGTGCTGCTACTATAAACTAAGCTCTTTGTCACTTGGCGTCGTGTTGCTACTTGTATATAACAGGGACAAGGCCAGGTTGGTATTTGACAAATACGGGAAAGCCAACTACATTCACATTCAGCATTGAAAACAACTGTAAGTGCAAGCATATAGATGTATATAGCAAGATTCATTAGTTAGACCCTGTGAATGACTGCCTCTTCATGACAAGAAATAGCGTAGGTTTCAGTCGCTTTGAGGCCAGAGCAGATTCAAGATGATTCAAGCCAGTTTTTGTATTCGACGGTCTTTGCAAGCCTGAAGTATCAAAGAGTTCTTGTGTTACTGTGATTTAGTAATTTTGTGTGTTATATGTTTGATCAAACAATCCAGTCCAGCATGTGTGAGTGTGTGTCGCAGGTCCTGCGAGCTTTGTGCTCGGACACCTTCGCCCTGCGTGTGAAACTTAAGAGTCAGCACAAAGATTTGTATCATGGGGAATGGGAACTTTCAAGTGCTACCCTTTAAATATCATTTGACAGTCCTGCTACATGGAATGGGGTTATTGAGAGAAAGATGATTTTTGAACAGACTTTGCAGCGCATGGCTCGAACAGAGTTTCCTCTTGGCGAATCCACAAGATGTTAGAATCAGTTTGGTATTCCATGGTACTTTGTACATTGAAATGAGCATCAGAGACATCAGGGTGACTGGTAAACAATCAAGATAAGCAACAATACATACTCTGCATGCTCTGCGCGTGGATAGCTGCTGCCCACACATAGCTTCAGCATGCGACTTGGCCCGGAATCGTCTCCTTTCCAGAGGTTGGTGAGTTGCCCCCCCAAAAGGCTTCAAAGACAGCCTGAAATCTGAAAAGCCAGAAGTCTGCAATTTTGCTGACTGAGGCCCACATCGCACCCCTGGCTTGATACAACTCTATTGCTTGTACTGTAACAGCTTGCTATAAAGCAGTCTTAGATCTTTACAGACGCTTACCACTATGTGCCCATCTTCCAACAACTTGTTCAATTTGAAGACCCTGGCACCAAGCACTGCCAAGCAGCTTCAGACACGTGTTAGTGGGCGGCAAGGTAGGTGCATGTATCGTTCAGAGCCTGCCAGGTGGACATGAGAGAGCCAAAAATACAGTGCTCAGCATTTCTATTGTTATACAATATGGTTCATTGCTCGCACAACGTGAGCTGTGCATAACATTCAAAGTTGAGGCGGCAAGCCAACTTAGGTTGCGAACAGACAGGACGTAGTACCCTACTGGTGCCAATCCTTGAAAAACGTAGCCGGAAAACTACTGTATAAGTTAAGCCTAAATAGATATATAAATACAAAACAAATCGTACGTTAGGTTGGTTTTGCCGGTTGCTCAAATCTACAGAACATGAAGCACAGTAAAGTGGCTGGCCTCACAGACATTGCCTCAAACTGTGTCACAATGCTGCAGCCGATTAGGCTTTGGAGGCGAGTGTGTCTTGAGTCTTCACCAGCAGTTTCTCCCAAACAACAGAAGTGTTTCCCACTTTACCTTTAGTGTTGGAGGTATGCGTGTTGCGGTTGGATTCGTATGTAAGTTTGTTTAGTGTTTGACATTGATATGCAACCATGTTTTGCGTTATTTTCATTCTAGGCCAAGGTTTGCACCATAAATAACTGGACGCTGCATGACCAACTCTTGAGCAGGATCAGAGCAGATCAGCAACTTACCATGTGTCAAGACAGGCATTTTATGTGTAATGCTTGGAACCGAGAAAGCCTTGACATACGGATGATTTCCAATGCCTAAACATGCCTAAACTCTGGTGATAATGCACTCGCGAAACAACCAGTCTTCCTTGTGTTTGGCCCAGCCGTCCAAATTGCAAGCCACCAGTCACCAGTAATTATTGTAGATTGATTCTGGGTCCCTGCTGTGAGCGCAGCATGACCTGCATTTTCACATCAGACCTGCTTCGTCCATGGCTTCTTCCTGCCCTGGAAGCTGCAGACATTTGCCTTCTTTGCTCCGCATCACGAAGTTTGCGAAAGGAGTTGAAGCTTTTGCCTTCCTTTTCAGTGACGTTTCGACGCGATGTCTTGATGAGCGATGATGCCATCATATCATTGGCAGCAACTATTCGAGGTATGTTGAGCTTGACTCACTTGAGCATTGGTGTAGCATATCAGGCTTGTTCCAGCGTCAGCAAGCTAGCAGAGTGTCTTGCTGGACTGCAGCTTGCAAAACTTACAGTGGATGCTCGACGCTGCAACCTGGGTGATCAGGGTGTCCGAGCATGGACAAAAGCCCTTGCATGTCTCATGCAAAACACCTCAAAACTGGTATTCTTGCATTTGCGGCTCAGCTTCAATCGCATCTCAAGCAAAGGTGCTTTGGACTTGGCCAAAGTCTTTGAGAATGGATGTGTGCAACTAAAAGATGTCATTCTAGACGTGGACATCAACCCAATCGCCGACAGTGCTTTTCTTTTGCTACAGTCACTGAGAACTACCCACCGATTGCGTGTAGACATGGCTCATTGTGATATTGGAGACGTGGTGGCTGTAAAAATTGCCTGCCTCTTGAACTCCGCTGAATTTCGTGATCGGCCAGAAGTTAGATCGATAGAGCTTGACCTTCGTGGAAATCCTTTGATCGAAAGCAAGGCATCAATTGCGAAGGCAACAGCATGTCTCAATGCTGCAGGCCACAAATGCCTTTCTCGGGTTGATTGACCACTTTGTTAGTGCTGTTTCACTTACCTCCAGACATTTTCTGTATCTTTTGCAGAACAGACTCTTCACAAAAGAATGCAAGAGAGCAAGATAGTGCAAGGCAATTTACTGCAGTTGATTTTTTGTATGGCAGTTGTAGCGGTCATGATTTGAGTCCAGAAGAGGGATTGTGCGGCATCAAGACTGTTTTTTTTTTTTTCCAAGGAATCCAGACGAGAATCCAAATCCAGTCGTGTACGGCAGTGGGAAGACGCTCCAGTTCCGCTCGTTGCAGGAGAACCTGGCAGGAAGACTAAGACCAGCAAGTACTGTAAGCAATTTTTCAACAGCGAAGCTTTGGGGTTCCTTAGTAACAAGAAGCTACTAGGGGCTCCTACGTGGAGGCCATCGCTATTAAGGGCCTTCGGCCATAGTGAAGACCTTGGAGCAGATCGGAGCGGGTCTCGAAGCAAGTTTCGGAGGTTCCTGAGCAGGTTCCGCGGGGGTCGGGTTCGGTCGCCGCCACTCCTCCTCTGTGTTTTGCTCTGAAGCGTTTGCTGTTGTGGGGTCGGCTTTGGTCGCCTATCTACACCGACTGCGCTCACTCCCCCACTTCCCATTCACAATTCTTTCTATTCCGCACTTCTCCAACCATCCTCCCCTCATACTCTCCGTAATTATGTTCTTCTCGATTGTCCCTTTGTGAAAGCTTGCGGGGTTATCTGGCTTTTAGTTACGTTTCTAAATTGTTTTTCATGATGCATCGCAACGACGTTCGAGTCATTTCTGAGGAAACTCGAGTCCAGGACGGAAAACACACTGTGGCCATAATGAGAACTTGCCCATTTTAGCATTGACTGTGGTAAGGACGCCCCGCTCAAGGAAAAGGCCTCATACCTCTTGCATGCTGTGGAACGGGAACTTGTTTGGCGAATGATTTGGTTCTTCTAGGACGGGCCTATATAATCTCAAATGCCTGCTCCGCACAGTAGTATCCATTTGGGGAGGAACTCGTCTGCCACATCCAATGTGCTGTTGACGAGCAGTTCAGTACTTAATGAATCTTAATTATCTAGCAAGCAACGCTGTCACAGTAGCAACTTGGTTTGTGAGTTTAGGGTTCAGAAGAGTGCAGTTTTGCTGTGCAGCACAGAAATTAACGTGTTGCGTCCGTTCAATTTCTGCTTGGTTTTTGAGACATGTAAAGCGGATTCTTGTGTAAATGCTTCTTGCCCTGAAAAGCCTTGCCACCAAAATAACACCAAAAGGAAACAAGCTCCTGGCCCAAGACCATAGGTCCCATGGGTAATTAACTAAATTGACATTCTGGTGCTGAAGTCGACGAGGAGCTACTTGAGCTTACAGAGCTGCAGGATGAGTTGTCCTCGCAGGACAGGGCTCACTGGCTCACTGCAGAACTGTTTGAATTCCTGGAAACCAGTGTACAGTAAACCGGTTTAATCTGATTTCTTGTTCTTCTGGATTCTTCTCCGTTTTCTCTCATTTCAGCCGGTCATCAACCAACCACATGTAGATTGCATGCATGATGCTGATCTACAATACGCCAGTGTGTTTATTCTTCCAAGCAACCATTGCGTGTTTCTTTCTTTACATTGAAAATCTTTGCGCTTATCTTTCAGTTCTTCTCATTGTCTCAGGATCAAGGCTTGCTTTGTCCGCTCACCTGCTGCTGCTGCTGCTGCTGCTGCTCTTGGTGTTGCCGCGGCGATGGTGGTGCTTATGCTCACAATGCTCACATACTGTAGTGTTGGGTTGGAGCTCATCGGCTTAGCGCGGCCTGTGGCGCTTTTTTCTGTTTGTGTTGCTCAAACGCTGCTGTGTCCTGTGTTGCTTTGATTTTACTGCTCTTTCATGTTATGGTATCGTGAGACCCGTGCAGAACGACTACACAGAAAACTAATCTAGACTGCCAAAGGAGGTATATAGCTTGGAAGAAGAGAGCTACATTGACATGCTTAGAAGGCTGAAGATTGGTGACATTTTCACTTTTTGGCGCAACCGACCGAATTATCTTGGGATATATATATATATAGATATATACACAAAGTGGGTGCCCAGTGCCCAGCAAACATAACAGATCATCACTTCAAGAGCAACTTAAAGTCATATACTGTACATGACATTGTTGGACTGCTAAAGCATGCTAAGCTGTCAATCTGAGATTTTGCCCTCTCTGGAGAGCAGAGAAATGCCTCTGCTGAACGTACCTGTAGATAGCTAGATAATGTTAGTGAATCAATGCTGATCATATTGATTTTCATGAACGACCACGCGATTGTCATTGTTGCATAGTTTCAATAAGTTGTTAGCCTGGCTTCCTTGTGCTGATCGCGCTTGTCAGAACCTCTTACACTGACTGAGATCTGTATTTGGCAGGAAATCTTCGAAAGCTTGCGGCATCTCACTGACCCAGAACACCCAAATCTTTCTTTAGAGCAGCTTAAGTCTCGGTCTCAGCGTGCCTCTCAGATCCAAAGCATAGTATGTGTGTTTGTATGTATGTGTGCTGTGTGTGTTAACATACTTATGTGTTTGCAGTGCATGTCCAAAGATAATCTCATTAAGTCTTAGCCATGAGAATGGGCAGCCCCACATAGTATGCCAAACGCTACTGTTGAAGCCCGACCCACTGTGCTCAGGGTTGTCGAAGCAGGCCATGTGTGGGTCAACGAAGCAACCAGGACTGTTTTTGCAGCTTGGCTTTGAGAGCTCGGGAATTGAGAAGCAAAGTTTTGGTTAAAAGAACAGATCCATTTTGAACTAAGGTGCGCTTCACACCTACTGTGCCCACCTGCAGCGTTGCGACACTGATTGGCCTGACAATCAAGGCACGGGCGCGGCGATTCATTCAACTTCGTTCAACTTCGACTCCGCCAAACGCCAAACCACCAAACCGTTTCTTTCGCTTTGATGACATTCCTTTTGCTTTGCTCACTTTGCTTTCTCAGGCCAAGCTGCTTCGCTCTTTGCCTCACCGTAACAGACCAAGTTTCGTTGCTCGAAGCTGTTTTGTTGAATTTGTTTGTCTTTGGTTTTGAATCGCGCATCCGCATCCAGGTTACAAGGTTGATGTCGAGATCACTCCAGGCACGCACAACACCGAGGATCAGGTGCGAAAGACAAGACTTTCTCTACCTCTCTCTTTCTCACATCAAATCACAACAGGTAGCATTCAGCTACCTGCGTTCTCCTTGCATTAGCAAACATTTATTGCAGTAGGCAGCCGGGATTCGGGGTCGTGCAATGAATTTGAGGTTCTAAGCAAGGATTCTTAATCATTAGGGGTGGGCCCCCTGGATTAAGTCCCTCCCTCCTCCTTTTGCATTTTGTGCATCTCATCTCATCTTCTTCTGTATGTGCTTTGCGACCTCAGTGCTGCTTTCCATCCATCAGATTGCATGTTGCATGACACGTCGGTCGATCGGACCGCTTTGTGTCGCATAGTCTTTGCCCTTGATTAACTTCCAGGTGGACAACAACAAGTCGTTCATCAAGAATCTTTGAGCAGCCTTTTAGACACGCACATGCACCGCATGCTCTTGGTGATGCTCTTGCCACTGCTCTTCTTGTCACTCTTGCTGCTTTTGCTGCTGCTCCTGCCGCTGCTCCTGCTCCTGCGCCTGTGGCTGCGGCTGCGGCTGCGGCTGCGGGTGCTGCTGCTGCTGCTGCGGCTGCGGCTGCGGCTGCGGCTGCGGCTGCGGCTGCTGCGGCGGCGGCGGCGGCTGCTGCTGCAGCTGCTGCTGCTGCTCGTCTTCTCAAGCTTGCTACTTTGCCTTCACCCCCTGCTAGCTCAAGTTCTATAGAAGTTTGTTCCCCAATAGCGATAGCTTGGGGTTGTACACTCTTTAAGCCGCTGGGCGCCGTCGGATACACGCCCCCCGGCCTGGGCGGTGGTGTCCCGGTGTCTCGGTCATATTTAGGCGATGTCTCAGTTGTGCTTAGGTGGTGTCTCGGTCATGCTTAGGTGGTGTCTAGGTGGTAACTCGTTCATGTTTGCGCGGTGTCTTGGTCATGCTTAGGTGGTGTTTCTCTCGGTCATGCTTAGGTTTATATAAATCTTTCATTGGAGAGAGCCTGTTTTCAAAATTTAAAAAGTCAAAAAAGTCAAAAACGTATATCCCAAAAGTCAAAGTCGAAAAAAAATCAAATCATAAAGTTTCAGAAAGTCAAAACAAATCAATTTGCCCAGATCCGACTTCTGTTGACTTTTATGTTTTTTACTTTCTATCGACGTTTTGTTTGACTTTTTCGAGTGGTTGACTTTTTTTTACTTTTTATTTTTTCGAACGGTTGACTTTTTTTGACTTTTTCGATGTGTTTTTGAATTTGACTTGTTTTTTTGACTTTTTTCGACTCATTTTTTATATTTTTTTTACTTTTCTTTTTGGTGTTTTTTTGACTTTTCCATTTGACTTGTTTTTGACTTTTTTATCAAGGATTCTGGCCTTACCATATGAACGAATTTTATAAGCTTAGGTCTTAGGTGATGCTTCGGTCATGTTTAGGCGGTCTCGGTCATGTTTGGGCCGTGTCTCGGTCATGTTTGGCTGCTTAGGCGGTGTCTCGGTCATTTTTAGGTTCTCCATCATGCTTAGGTGGTGTTTGGTTCATGTTTGGGTGGTGCGCCGGCTATGTCTTGGTGCTTATTATATGCTTTTGTTGCCTGTTTTGTTGTCTGATGTTTTCAGTGTGGTGCACTTATGTTGGGGCTGTGTCTCGATCTGAGTCTTTGTGCGTGTATGAACTGCTCGCTTGCATGTCCATGCAGTAACCCAGCTGACAACCCCAACAGGAAAGCATCCACCAGATCCATTTTTTCTGCGTTGTTCGTTGCGTCGTTCGTTCACATATCGATCATCGAAGACAATTCTTTAAAAACCTCCAAACAGTGAAATGCACTCCAATAGTCTCTACCACTTAAGGAATGTTCGCCGATGGCCGAATTGTGTGTTCAAGCACTCAAGTGTCTGCACATGGTGCGTACGTCTGAAGAACCCGTTTTGTACAGCGCAGCAAAGATTCGCTCCAAAGAGAGGTGAGTGTATATATTTTTCGCATATGCGTGCAAGTTCAATTGAGCCACGTCAAGAACCTCCATGAAGAGTTTTTGTCATGCAGTTGTCCTGACATATCCCCCGCGAAAGGCAAAACCTAAGTCGCGAAAACTTCGAGAAAACTGTTGCCAAAGACACCATGCAAAAATGGTTGCGAAAGGAGCATGCGAAAGGACGTATGATTTGTTTCCAGCGCTAGCTGTTTCTTTTTAAACGCTGCTTTGACGCAACTTCGCCATTGACACCATGAGAGCTTTGCATAAATATATACAAAGACGCTTCTAGCCCCAAACTGAATGGTTTTTCTGTATTGCACCAGTGCCCATGGTGGGCAAGTCAGATAGCAGTCAAGGAATTCCCGCAATAAATTACAATAAACAGAAACCTAGAAACCGTGGTTTGAACACGGGTTTTCCGAAGTCGAAGGTCGGAAATCCGCGAAAGGCGTGCGAAAGGCTCGGGAAAGGTGACGGTTCCATGTTCAGGATGTAGCCAATGATTTGCATTTTCTACTTGCCACGTGAAAAGGAAATTTTGCTGGAAGGAGGCAATATGATGACTCATGAGAATCATGGGGATTGTCACTAAACGACCGCGTAGCACCGCGGCTCGAAGCCCCTCTTCGGCGGGTGGGGGGATCCAGCGGTGCCGCGATGGAGGATCTGTCCCTCTGCGGCGCTTTGGCAGGGTGGACAGATCCTGACTTGGAAGTCCTGGCGGAGTTGGGGTGGACCACAACCAAGCTGGCCACCCTGAGAGGATGCAACCTCAAGATCCTCGACACGGTCTTGACCTCCGCCAGGAAGAGAAAGGAGAGCTTCTGCCAGGAGGCAGGTGGCTTGCGGGACTTGATCTCGCAATGTGACAAGAGGTCGGCCAACATCCACAGGGCTGACGCTGGCAAAGGGTCGCAAGACCTTCTGGAGGCTCATGTGGAGCATCAGCGTGAGAAGAGGCGCAAGGTCTTGCATGGCCTGGGCGAGTTGGAGGTGACGGAGCGCATCAAGCTGGTGGGCACTGCAAAGGTCTTCAAATGGCCAACTCGCCTGGGGAAGAAGCTCCACTTGGCCGGTTCGGACTTGGCGCTCCGGGAGATGGCCGAGAAGTCTGAGAGGGATCGGTGGCTTGCAGAGTTGAGAGAGCTGATGAAGAAGGCACAGCTACCGGTGGTTCTCAGGTCCACCGAGGAGTCCCTCATGATGAGGATCGCCAAAGGAAGGCGACCGAACACGTTGAGGAAGCATGTCAAGACGTGGCAGAAGGTGGGCCAATGGCTTGAGATGACCTTTGGAAAGCCCTGGCCATCCACACCCAGCGAGTTTGCAGAGTACATCGAGGCAATCGTGCAAGAGCCCTGCGCCAAGTCAGCGCCCGAGGCGGCTTACAAGACTTTGATGTTCATGGAGTTCGCCGGTGAGGTGGAGGAGTCAGCCCTCCTGCACAGGTCATCGGCGGTTCGTAATGCCATTGAGGAGGCGCAGATGAGGTTAGCATCTTCGGAGATCAGGCCTTCGCGGAAGGCCCTGCTGCTGCCGCTGGCGGTGGTCATGGCAATGGAGGACATGGTGGTCGCAGATGACAGGGTGCCGTTTTCGAGGGCATATGCATGGTACCGCCTGGTGAAGATCTGGGCGGGCTTGCGCTTTGATGATACCAAGGGCACTCCAAACAGAAGCATGGAACTTCGTGACAGTCACTTGGTGGGAATCATCCACAAGTCCAAGACTTCAGGTCCGGGGAAGCGAATTCTTCAGCTTCCCTTCTACGTGAGCAAGGAGGCCTGGGTATCCCGCCATAACTGGCTGGAGGTTGGTTGGAAGATTTGGAACCACATGGGAATGGAAGCGGGCATGTTGACCCGCGATTTTATGTTGCCATGGCCGACAGCATGCAGGACGGGATTCGCAAGGCGCATGGCAGACTATTCAACAGCATCTGCTATGTCTCAAGCCTTGTTTGGGGAGCTGTGGGTCATGGACAAAGGACAGAGGGCCTCGTTGTTGTTCGCAGGCGTGGGCACATTGTGGACAGAACACTCCGAGCGTGCGACGCTGAGATCATGGGCATCGGCGGCCAGAATTCCGCCTGATGTCAGGAGGCAGATGGGAAGGTGGCGTCCAGCCACCGATGAGGGCTACGAACGGACCACTCGTGCCAACATACTTCGTAGCCAGAAGATCATCGCCACGTTCCTTCGAGACAATAGGGGCCGAGGAGATCCTATGGATGAGGCGGCGGTGTTGGAGACAGTCAGCATCCGCATGGGGCTCGTGGGGTACCCGGATGAAGCGATGGAAGTGCAAGCCGCCCTCTTGGAGAGCTTCCACCCGGAGGAGGTGGCAGTCGAGGCAGCCTGGAGACCGAAGTGGACGGCGTCGGGGCCGGTGGTCTTGATCGAGCCTGCCGAGGGCGAGGACATCAAGGATGCAGCCAATGACCTGGGTGACGGCGGGTTCGAGTCCGAGGAGGAGGAGTTGCAGACACGGGCAACTGAGGTGGTGCGGGCCGAGACAGTGGCCGGCACGTTTGTAGTTTCGATTGTGGGGCGCTCCCGCACTCGGACGCTTCACCGCGTCGGGGAATGCCATAGGCAACCCGGAGTACATTACGCCCAGTTTGAGATCCTGGGAGATGAACCTCCCGATGCAAGTACATATCACAGGGCATGTAAGAACTGCTTCGGTAAAGATGCCACCGCTGCAGAAGGTTCTCCGGAAGAAGAGAGTTCTGGGGAAGTGACCTCGTCAGATTCGATGGAATCGGAGGTGGAGCCATCGGCGTGAGGCGGATGGGAGCTCATGCTGAAAATGGGACCTTACTGCACTGTGGGGGAAAGGTGTGTGGCAGGGGTTGAGAGAGTGCTGCACACTTGTGATAGAGAGAGAGAGTAAGTAAGTATTCTGAGAAGGTACGATGGGGCCGAAACCGGTTCTCGCTCGCTCGACCCGTGCTGTTGTGTGTTGATTGAACGTCGTAGGGATCGGCCGATCATGTTTGCTTGTGAAAGCCCTGTCAGGCATGTGCGTACTTGATGGGGCTCCAAAGCAAGGGGGCGC